CCCCTACCCCCCTACCCCCGTCCCTCCTCTCTCTCTCTCTCTCTCTCTCTCTCTCTCTCTCTCTCCTGCTCTCTATATATAGTCAATTTCATGAAAAACAGTTAAAACCTGACCAATATTTCATGCATGATTTTGTTTGAATGCCATTCTTGGATTGGTACTACTCAACATGTCTGGAGCACTTATGTTGGAAACTGCAACCCATTTTTTCTACTACTGTTATGGCTTGAGTAATGATTTCTCATGAGATGTGTATTAGCTTATACTTGTTGGTTGCTTGAGAACGTGAAATTTTGAACCATCGATTCTTCTTATTATGTGAACTTAACGGTATACGGTTACCTCATTTGCATGTAGCCAGTATGCAGTTTGCATTTTGAGATCTTTTTTTTTTCTCTCCTTATTTTTTGACAACTACGTGTTAAGATATTTTGCTCTTGTTTAGTATTATGCAGCAGAGCGGAGAACGTTAGTAACTTCATCGAGGCTGATGCAATTTTCGGTCCAGTATGTTCTTTTTCACCCTTACAAACCTTTTTATTTTTGGCTATTGTTTATTCATTTTAGGAAACCTTCTAGGCTTGATTGTTTTAATTTTGACAATGATGATAGAGAATTTTTTTCTAGAAATTTATAGGTATCATATTCATGGAAATAATATTTTTCTGGTTTCTTGCTTAAAATTTTAACTAAAAATAATAAAATTATTATTCTTTATTCTTATTTCTCCAATATTTCATTTTGTGATCTAGTATGAGTCATTTTTCATTATTCCATTTGGCTGTTTCTATGTTGATTTTTGTAAATATAAGTTTGCTTCGACTGATCTACCTTTGATGTGGTTATTTCTTGGGGTGAAATACAGCATTACAATGCTATCTAAGAATTTAGTGGTCAACGTGTGAGTCTTTTGCATTATTGTTTACTTTCGACAGTTTACTTTTGGTATTCCTATCATTTGGTGTTTTTGGATTTTCGATGATTCCCCTTATAATCAATGTTCAAAAAGGTGTAGGGGCTATTTATTAAGATAAAAGTTATAAGATAATTATTATTTATTAACTAATATCTATAAGATTTGGTTTTGGATATCAAATATTCACAAAATATCAATTTCATCCAAAGTCTATGACTATTCACAAAATATAATTCCAATCGGTAAATGTTCCATCCACAAATATGTAAAAATATAAAAAAAGTAAAACAAAACTAATAGAATATCAAAACTTCACACATTGTACAAACTAAGAACCAATTATTCATAAAAGAATTTGATATAGGACCAATTTCATTATTCAAACTAGTTCTTAATCAATTAATCACAAAAAAAATCAATCTTTCAACTACAAACATGTAAATGTATCATGAAAGGAAAAAATTAAAAAAAGAAAACTCAAATAATTCAAGACATAATATGTTATAGCAATAACGCGGAAAACCCTTATTCAAATATCTTTATGGCATGATGCTCTAAAAATGTGCAATAAAAATGATGTCGGCCCAAACCTCGTCTATTCGATCTCCAAAAGTCCTCACGATTGGCCACTAGAAGCTTCGAAAACTACCAAGAAACATTTCCTTTGATTTCGGAAGATATCAAAAAAGTCGAAAATTTATCGATTTTTCGATAAATTACGAAATAGAGGTTAATAAGGTGTTTTTTTTTCTCTAGATGGCACAGATTTGGTTTTGGGGGTTTAGAATGTCCCCCAAAACCCTTTTCCCCCCTTTTTAGGGAGGAAGAAATTACTATTTGACCTTAGCCGAGGGCATTTTTCCACCCTTGGCAACTTGCGTCTAGGCTCCCATCGAGGCGGAGCCTAGACAGCCGCCTTGACTGTAGCGCCTAGGCGGCACCTAAACGCAAGCCGCCTGGGTGCCCCGCCTAGGCATTTTAGTCAATTGGGTGGCTGAATTTTCAAACACTGATTATAATCAAGGGATCATTGTGCCCTTTTCTAAAATCTGGTGTTTTTTATATGTTTATGTCATTCATCTATGATGTTGAGTGTGGCCTGATCAATCTAGACTTGGTCTATTATTTGCTCCATTGTCAAAGGTAAAGTTGAGAGTGTCTTTTGTGTTGATGGGGAATTTAACTTGTGCTTCTTCCAGCCATTCGCCTGAACCCTTAATGACATCCATCTGAAATTCTGAATCATTTGTTTGTTATGCTTCCTACCCCATCATCTCTACCCTTGCTATGGACCAAGATATTGGTTTCTTGATGAGCTTGAGCAATTATCTGTCTTTTAAATTGTACCTGGAGCATAGAGCCTATCTAGTACTCCTTCCTCTGTGTGCATACCATTTACAGCCATTCTGCATAAAATGCAAAGCATGACTCACGTTTTGTTCCAGGTCATAAATGGCCATTGCTCTCTCTCTCTCTCTCTCTCTCTCTATATATATATATATATATATATATATATATATATATATATAGTATACGTAGTAGTAGTAAGTAAGTAAGTAATAAGTACGGTTAGTAGTTACGTTACGTACGTAAGGTAGTCGTACGTACGAACGACGT